TTCGCTCCATATAATTTTCAGAATAAATATGGATCAATGATTCCCGATCCGAAAGCCTACATGGCTCAACCGAAACTCTACTGCTGCCTCTCTTCATCCTAGCTACAGCGGTGGCCACATGAGAGCCTAGGCATGCATGTCCAGGCGTCCAGCTCACGGTATAAGGTGCGGTGGCACAAATTCTAATGGTGCACTGACCACCGATGGCTAGCTACTGGCTATTGCGGCCGTGCTGCTGGACAACGGGCGGTTGCTGACAGCATGTGGGACGCTACCTTACCGTCAGGATTTAGTTCGAGACGAGCAGCTAATGGCGTGCAGGCCACAATGGCCTGTGGAACGAATAGCGGTGATACACACGGGCGTACAGGCCACACGTAGCAGAGACGACGATGAGTCGTAGCTTCAAGCTGGGCATGGCGCATCAGCCGTGCGGGCCACTACGGGTTGTATGGTGAGTCGGTGTCTAGCGGCAAGCTAGCTGGATGCATTCAGGCATTGACAGAAATTCGGAAACGGCTTCTTGCCGACATGCGTGGAGTCCGTGTCAATTGGTCTTCGAGTCCAATTAGCATTGCTGCATGCGACGCTATCGATAATGAGACTAGATCTTGCTGAATCTGCCTCAGATCATAATTTGGATGGTACATGGTACTAATTATTAGGCTCCACCGTACAAGTTTTCATGCACATATGTACCGTTCATGTGTGTGCATGTTCGTACGCTATGTATTCATGTAAGTGTGTGCGTATAAGCTTGCATGTTTGTTTACAGGATAACTCGCGTAACGTACTTCATGTACGTGGGCATGTACTTCATGTACGTGGGCATGTATTTATACTTCGTCATGCTTCTTGAATGTATGTATATGTACTGCGCGTACAGATTCTATATGGCATTGCTGGAAAGCATACACCAGCTCGAAGGCTAGTACAATCAAACAATCTGCGAGATCTTTTCCATACATTTTAAAGGATGTCAATTTAATCTATCTCACATGCCACGTTAGTGACGGACGTAGGAATTGAAAATTGGGTGTACATGCTACATATATACACATACAGAACCAAGTCATCGTGGTATATGTAAAGCTAAATGTCCATCAATTCAAAGCAAACAGTACTAGAGTAGAGTACATTAGTACAATTAATTAATACTTGCAATATTTGTGAAGTAGGAACATTACAAATTTATTCGACGAGATGGTTTTTGGAATCAAGAGATGATGTCTTCATCAGCAACATGTAGAAAAGATTGCTTCTCAATGAATGTACCAAACAATCATTCAAGTACTGATCCCCAATGCTATTTCTTAGCTTGTTCTTTAATGAAGTTCATCAAATGCTCTTTCAACACTTGCAGTCTACCAATCAATTATAAATTTACAACAACTAATCAAAGATGAACTACTACTGTCTACTGAGGGCTAGATGTCTAGAACACCAACCTATGGTAGCTCTCGACTTGTTGTTTGAACTGTTGCCGCTGTGTCTGCGTGTGGGCCGTGCCGCCTACTGGTGCCGGTTGTGCCCCAATGCCGGTCAAATCAAACCCCAGGCGGCGGCGCGGCGCAGGTGGGGAACGAGACTTTTTGGTTGATTGGGAAAGGTGAGTCGAAGTAGGCGGGGGCGAGCCCTTGAGGCACCGTCACAGACGGGCAGAGGGCATAGCTCCTGGTTGGCTAGTTCCCTCCGTGTGTTTGATTCTTGGGCTAGCAGGCCGGCCCAGCTGGATGGTGATGGTACGAGGCCACAAACGTGGCCTTTTTACTCTTGCTTGGATCAAATATATACAGAGTTTGGTCTATTTATATGTATAATACATGTATATGCATAGTACCTGTAATTTTTTTCTCAAAATTATTGGGTGTACATTTGTACACCCATGTCCACATGTGGCCCTGTTCGCTTGTCTTATAATATGTACTTTTCGACTTGTCTTTTTAGTCGGAACAGTGTTTTCTCTCACAACAAATCAGCCGAAATAGCATTTCAGCTTGTTTTTTAAAATATGCCAATTTGATCTACCTTACGTACCGCGTAGGGCAGTAGTTAGTAGATACATACCGCATATGGCGTTTGGCATTATCATAGAACTGCCTGCTTGACAGCGATGGTGTATGTCGATGTAGTTTAGATCGGTAGCAGGTAGGGGTATTAGATCTGTTCCGCTAACAATGTCGAGGACGTGGCGGGATGTCACGGTACAAGCACCGGCATCGTAGATCGGCAACGGCTTCAACGACGATGTCGACGTAGAGCTTGTCGTGCTGATAACGTGTTATAAAACATGTTACCAGTGGTTAGGACCTAACCATCTTCGTCTCTCATGATCAACATAGTAGATGAAAGTAGAACACATAGACACAAGAGATAGGGAGACTATTCTTTATTCCTCTGAATATTGATGATTTACGACGTAGAGCTCCCACGTATATATAGTTTTGTCAAAGCCTACAAATTTAGTAAGAGTCTACGTTAGAAATTTTCTCCTCTCCTTCTAGATAGAGCCCGTACGTTTTATGACAGATTCAACTCTTCTGTTGAGAGGTCTCGGAGTCTTATTCCGACTAGCTGCGAGGCACGATAGTATACGATCCATCTGTACTGTATAAATAAACAAACAGCTAGAGCCCAGAGATCAGAGAGAGAAGCGTCCTCCTGCAAATATGCACTAACCAACTGAGCAAGCGTTCGACTCATCTCGAGACAAAAAAAAAAAGGTTGACGCGCGCGGTCGTCTGTATGAATGGTCCGCGGCTCCGCGCCATCCCTGCGCAGGCAGATCGCGGTGACGGGTCTGGGCGACGACCGCGAGTGGGTGACCGATACCGCGGTACGTGGATGCTGTTGGGGTGGCAAGAGAGTCCTGGGCGAGAGCATCAGAGCTATAAATTTCCAAACGGGCCGCGCAAAACGGGCTGGCACGGGCCCGGTGCGAAAAAGCACGGCCCTAGCCCGGTACGGCCCGGCCCGTAGCTGTGCCCGTGCCTGGGCCGAAAGGTCGGCCCGTAGTGCTGGCCCAGGCACGGCCCGTTCCAACGGGCGGCACGGGGCAGGCACAGCTCGCAGCCGTCGGATCGCGGAGGCGGGGCGTGAGCCGTTGGATCGCCGGGCGGCCGGGGGGTCCGGTATATAAGCCGCCCGATGCGACCACTCTCCCCTCGCTCGTCACCCTAGCCTCTCGCCCTCTCCTCTCCGGCTCTCCCCGCTCACTCTGTCGCTCGCCCGCTCCTCGCCTGCTCGTCGCTCCTCACCGCACTCGTAACCTAGGCTTCTCGACACCGTCACCATGGAGTCTTCCGCGCGGGTAAGGGGTCAGTTCCGGTGGCCGGTGGTTCCCTCTTCTCCCTCAATCTCCCTCTTCTCCCTCAGATCCGGTGGTTACTGCCCTCAATCTCCATCTATTCCCTTATTCTTCATCCCTGAACGTCGATTGAGCCTCGTTCTCGGCATCCTCGCCGCATCTCCGTCATCTATCCGTCGTCCACATCGCTGGTTGCCGCCACCTCCGGGGCTCCGGTCTCCATTGAGGTACCGGGGGTGTGCAATCGGTCCATCTCATCGTCGTCGTTTACGGGGCTCCGGCCGTAGAGGTAAGGGTAAACCCTAACCCAAACCCAAACCCTAATCCCCAACCTAACCTTGCTTTTATCTGTTGACTGTGGCAGCCGTCGAGAAACCGGAGACGGCAGAGATGGCCCTAGGCGCCGGGCGACACGACGATGGGGAGTTTGACCACTCCCAGAACGACGAGCTGCGTATGTGCGGGATGGCCCTAGACATTTTGACAGTGCCTGTGTCAACCATTTCTTCAGAGTCTACTTTTAGCTTAACTGGCAGGATCATCGAGGAGCGGCGGCGGAGGCTGAACCCTGAAACTGTAGAGGCGCTTACCTGCATTAAGAATTGGGAGAATGCTGAGACAAGACTGCAGCACATGGTGGAGGACAAGGAGCTGGAAGAGGCCTTTGCTGGTCTTTATCTTGATGTCGACTAGTTCACTTCCCATTTATGTAATGGTTCTGTAATAACTGAGACTTGGACTTGTGGTGATGGATGTAATGGACAATTAATCTAGGAGCTGGTTGTACTCTTTTCCTGTTTAGGGTTTCTCACAAGGGTGCGTTTTACTTAGACAGGTTTTTAATGAGGCAGCCATTGCACAGCTCCTACCTAAATTAGTTTTAGTTTCAAAAGTTTGTGTTCTTTACTGTGCTGTGTTCTGATCTGTTTTTGATCTTTTGTGAACTTAGTCATTTTAGATATCTTTGAATTGTTGTGCTGAGTTCATTGAGGGGTTTTGCCAGTTTAGTGCCTGGGTCGGCACGGGCACGCTGAGCCTGGAGTCGGCATGGCACGATACGGCACGCTCCAGGAATGATAGTGCCGTGTCTGGGCCTGGAGTCGGACACGATGGCACGACACGGCACGGCACGGTTCATCAGCCATGCCTAGCGTGCCGTGCCGGGGCGGGCTAGCGCCGTGTAGGGCCATGCCGGCACGTTTGGAAAACTATAATCAGAGCAAGGGTCAGGGTTCGATTCAGATGGTGATGATGATACAACTCTTTATTATTATTAGCATATTACTATGTAAGGAAGTATATCCTATATCCTATCAAGCTGAAGCAATTTGGATCCCACCATTTATCATTTTATCCTAAACTCATTAAGCAATTTGGATCTCCATGGTACAGACTTGCAGCTATATGTACTAGTCCTGTTGCACTCGGATTCGGATAGCGTGCCATAACTGCGAGTCTCCGTGTTCGGTCTTCCAATCCAACAAGGAGAAGAGGAGTTTCCGTGTTCGGAACGGTATCGCGATATGCGCCGCCGCCGCCGCCGCCGCCGGTGGGTGTCGTGCGTCTCCCTGAGTCCCTTCGTATATATAGCGTGCTCGTGTGCACGGTGGACCGGACAAGCACAATATCGCACAGCTCCCGTAGTTCTGTCCTGTCCTACCCGGCCGCCGGGCACAGCCGGAGCCGAGCGACCATGTACGTACGTAGCAGGACGCCCCCGCCGTCGTCCATGCCGCGCGGCAAGATCCAGATGAGCCTCATCGGCGACGCACGGGATCGCGCCTAGGCCTTTGCGCAGAGGAAGGTGGGGCTTGTGAAGAAGGCGCGAGAGCTCGCGAAGCTCTGCGACGTCGACATCGCGGTCGTCGTCTGCGCCGGCCCCGACGGCGGCGCGCCGGTCGTGTGGGAGTCGGACCCGGGCGTCGTCATCGACAGGTACCGCAGGCTGCCAGCGGACAAGCGGGCGAAGCACACGCACCTGGACTACATCAATGGCCAGTTGGGCAAGGAGGAGCACAGGCTCGACAAGAAGCGGAGGCAGGGCCTCAAGGCGCTCGCGTGCTGAAGGACTTGAACCTGGAGGAGCTGCTCGCGTCCATCGACGCGGCGCTTCTGGCCACGGCTGAGAGGCAGAAGGCGTTGGGAGTCGCCGACGATGATGGCAAGCAGCTTGGGCAGCAGGTGTCGTCGGATGCCGTCGTGCCGGTCATTGGGCAAGGGGGTCCGCCGTTCGTCGGCGGCGACGACCTCGACGATATCCAGGCCTGGGTCGACGAGCTCATGTGGGACGGTGCCGAGCCGCTTCCGCTGAATAATGCCAGCATGATGCAGGCTGCGTCCGGCGCGATCCAGTACAACAACGGCAACGACGTGGACATGGGCAGCAACCATCAGTGCCAGGCGCAGACGCCGCCAGGCAATGGCGAGAACGGCTACTGTAGCCAGCTCCCATGGCACGCCTACCAGCCGAATACCACCGTCTCTTACCCTGATCACGGCTTCCCATGCACTGGCAACAACTACGGGGACATGGACGAGTACTCAGATATGCCGGTGCCGAGCGATGCAAATGCCTACGACGGCTGGTACGGTCAGACCTGGTGGGGCGCCGACGAGTCGTCATGCCACGCTGCCGTTGCCTTCTTGCCAGCGGCGGCGTCGTACCCGTCCCTGGACATCGCCGGCAATCCGGCGTACATGCCACCGCAGCACGAGCACCCCAGTATGGGCATCGGCAGCCTCATGGATGCAGGTGGCCACGAGTACGAGACGGGGTGCTTGGCTGATTACTTGCAGCGCCCGGACGCCAGCCAGCATTTGGAGACGAGCCGGAGCCGCTGCATTACCTCAGTGATATGGCACAAGGCATTAGCTATTATGATGATCTCGAAGCAGGTGGCTGCAGCTCTGGAAGAGCTCAACTCTTTGTTCAAAGTCACAGCTGCTCTGAGACACAGTTTAGTACTAGTTCAGAGCAGTCCCAGTCAGACGTGGGACATCAGTATTAGGATCCAGGAGTAGAGTATTTTTGGGTGATGGAAGGGCCGCCGCCGGTCGCCACTGCCAGTGCGACCGAGAGCCAGAGGGGGAGGGACATGGGCTAACAGTGGAGGTCTTTACCAACCATGGATACCAGTTTATCAATAGATTAAGCTAACAGGGTCTGAACCTCTTGTACTAAGCATAAGCATTTGTTCTAGATGAACTCTTGTACTATCTCATGATGTGGAGGCTTTTGTACCTTTATCTACAAAAATAGGTTCTGTCTGTTTGGAGGGGAAAGCCGGAAATTTGTAACCAAGCAGCTCAGCTTGGAGATCCAGAAATTTTGTACAAGTATAATAACATAATGCAATTTAATGAAATTATTACAGCGAATCAAAATTACATTCAGTTCCTGCCATCAATATGATGAATTCAACACCAAATTGTCAGGTTTTGGTTTTGACGCAGTATGCTTGACATAAGCCTGTTCGCTGCTGCAGCAGCTGCTGTTTACACAGTAGCATGTGAGAAGCAGCCACAGCAACAGCCGCTTAGAAGGGCATCCGAGCTTTTGCCAGTAAAACCATTACACAAATTTACCCGACTGCCATTCGCGACCACCACCGCCGCTCGCCGGAAATGACGCCTCGGGTGCTCCTCTCCCGCCTGCGCCTCGCCCCTCTCCTCCACGACGGCCACCACCTGCGACGCTCTCTCTCCGCCGCCGCTGCCAAACTTCCTGACGAGTTGCCTCCTGGCGCGCCGCCTCCGACCTCCGACTCCAGGCTCTTCGTCGCCGGTACCGCTCTGCTCTCCCGCATCCTTGTCTGTCTCCCATATGATCCCCGATTGCATCATAGCTCTCACCGTACTACGTTTCTGTTTACTGATTGTGGGTTCAGGGTTGTCGTGGTCCGTGGACGAGCGCTCCCTCACGGACGCCTTCTCCTCCTTCGGCACCGTCACCGAAGGTACGAAACAGATTCGCGTACTGGAACCCCACTGTTACTAGGAACTTATTAGGAATGCCCAATTTCGTTTGTGTTTAATAACCTCTGCGCGTTGGGGTTTTTGGGTTCGGTTCGAGGTCAGATGGTGCACGGGGTAGGTGTTCGGCCAAATGCCGTGGAGACCGTGAACCACTCCATCGTGCCCAGGCCGGCAGCCTGTTCGACGAAATTCCTGTTAGGGACGTGGTCACCTGCTCAGCGGCAATCTACCGGCATGCGAGGAGTGAGTTGTTTCATGAGTCAGCTGGGCTGTTTGTCGGCATGATGAGGGCAGGTGTGTGCCCAAACTCGTTCACCTTGGTCGGTGTGTTGCTTGTGGCAGCTGGTCTGGGTGATGTTGTGCTTGCCGAGTGCATTCATGGGTGGGCTGTAAAGAGTCAGTTGGAATCCAATCATTTTGTTGCAACCGCACTGGTGGATGCATATGCAAAATGTGGGTGCCCCATGAACGCATTGGCGTTTTTCAGCGGTTTGAGGGATCCTAATGTAGTTTCCTGGAACGCGATGATCTCCGGGTTAGTGCACAATGTTTTGTTTGAGGAAGCAGTATTGGCGTTCAAGAGGTTGTGTTGTTGTTTTGGGTCAGTTCCTAATAACGCTGTGACCATGATTAATGTCGCTCAAGCGTATGCTGGTTGTGGTGACCTTGGAATGTGCAAGAGTGTACATGCTTATGCAGTTAAGATCGGCTTTGATTTGGATGTCTTGGTGACAAACTCAATACTTGGCATGTACTTGAGTTTTGGGGATATTGAGATTGGAAGAGAGATTTTCAGGAAAATTATTGTTCGGAATGTGGTTACTTGGACAATGATGATGGGTTTCCTTCTTGAGCAGGCGCATGTTGGTGAAGTTATAAATATCTTTGTTCAGATGAGGTCAAATGGCATAGTTCCTGACAGGGTAGCAATGGTCAGTTTGGTGCAAGCTTGTGCACTTCTGGGTGATGCAAGGAGAGGAAAAATGGTTCATAACCAAATGATCACCCATGGGTTTAGTAGTGAGCTTCCTGCAGTTAATTCATTAATCACTATGTATTCCAAATGCAAGGATTTAAGTTCCGCTAGAGTGTTGTTTGATGGAATGAGGAACAAAAGCTTAGTTTCATGGACTGCAATGGTTTCAGGGTATATAGGAAGTGGAAGAGCCCTAGAGGGGATGCATCTATTTGGTAAGATGAGTCGTGAAGATATTTTTGTGATTGATTATGTGACATTAGTCAGCTTATTGACTGGATGCTATGAGACTGCTAAGTTTGATCTGTGTGTTCAACTTCATGGGTATAGCTACAAGTCAGGTTTGTATCTGTATAGACCTGTCCCTAATACCCTCATGGCAGTTTATGGTAAGTGTGGATATGCCAGTTTAGCTCATAAAGTATTTGATGACATGATTTCTCGAGATGTTGTCTCGTGGAATACCCTGATATTATCCTATGGTATAAATGGCCAAGGAGAGCAAGCAGTAGCACTTTTTAATGACATGGAGGAATCTAGTGAAGAGCGAGACAGTGTAACATACTTGAACACAATGCTGGCATGCAGCCATTCTGGACAAGTTGATGATGGGTTGATCATATTCAGGAGAATGATTAATGAGAAGCACGTAAATCCATGCCAGGAGCACATTGGATGCCTAGTAGATATGTTGGCAAGAGCTGGTCGCTTGGATGAAGCAGCAGAAGTGGCTAGCTTGACTAGCAATGAGGGAGCAAATCCTTGGAAGGCTTTGATGGGAGGAGGTCACCTGCATAGTCACACAGAATTAACTGAAGTTGCTGCTGAGAAGGTGCTGAACGCGGACTCATTTGATAATGGCCATGTTGTGTTACTTTCTAACGCTTGTGCATCTGCTGGGAAGTATAGTGATGCTGAATCTATCCGATCCTGTTATTCGAAACAAACACAAAAGAAGATTCTAGGGCTTAGTTCCATTGAGGTTATGCTATCCAGCACAAGATAGCCACTATACTTCTTGCAATGGAAGGGAAAAGATACATGAGACAATTACCATACACTATCTGTCTGTCTCAAAGTATTGGAGATCTGTTTTAGGCATGAAAGATGGAGTTTTATTTGCAGACAGCCAGGTCCCATGTGATTAAAAGAGAAACATCAAGAATGAGGTTTCAGATAGCACATTTGATGCAATGGAAAATTGCATTGGTCTTTATATTGTGATAGACTAAGAGTTTTTCATCTTGATTCTAGTATGGTTGAATCAGGAGCCTTACGTCATGTGAGTATGGTGTTTATCTGATGGTATTCTGACCCAATAGAAAACTTGTTGACTACACCATCAGTTCAATTGCATCTGTCATTTTGTGTTTCCTTAGTACTTTTGCCTTGGAGTACTAACCATATCTGATCTGTATCAATATCCTCCTCACTATGGCCCCGTTTGGTATGGCTCCAACTCTGGGTGGAGCTGCTCCACTCCAGAACTCCAGGTGGAGCCAGCTCTGGGTGGAGTTGGAACTGTCTGATGGAGGTGTTTGGCTGGGAGGGTGTCCCCAGCTACGAAAAGAGGAGTTTGAGGGTAGATTGCCATTCTTGCCCTGCTTATGTGGGTCCCACTGTCAGTGACTAATCTATTTTCTTTTTTTCCTCTCCTCTTTTCCTCTCTGTTCCGTCTCTGTCAGCGGCTCGGCGGCGTCCATGAGGTCCCAAAGCCGGAGGCAGCCCTCGAACTCGCCGTCGACGGCGACCACAGGCATGCCGTGCTCGGCGGCGAAGGCGCGCACCTTCTCGATGGCGCAAGCCTCGGTGACGATCACCCGCGCCCCCGCCGTGGCCGCCTGGCGGTGGATCTCGTGCGGGAGGACACCTCCGGGAGCTGCTCGAAGTAGTAGACCTCATGGTGTCTCTGAGAACCCGCAGAGAAGAAAATCGGGGTGGGGGAGAGCTCTGGTGAGGAGATCGAGAGCTCGGTCGTTTGCTCGGCCATGGCGGCCGTGGTGGTGATTGGAGCGCTGGAGAGAGGTAGAGGGCTCGGGGAGGGCAGAGGCGGCGGCGGCGTGCTACTGCGGAGCTCAGGCGTGCTTTTGTAAGGCGAGGCGAGGGGGAGGGCTCGGTCGCAGAGGAGCTCGGCGGCCACCCATGGCGGCGGGGGAGGAAGACGACGGCGCGGGAGGGAGGGAGTCACTGCGCGGGGGGCTCGGGAGAAATAGAATCGAACCGTTTTTCTGTGTAATCAGTGGCAGTGGTGGGTAATTTCCCACCAACTCCACGAGGAGGTTCATATTGAGTGGTTTTGGAGCTGCAAAAGAGGTGCTCCAAAACTCCACCTCCATTTGAACTACAGCTCCATGGAGTCGGCAGCTTCATAGAGTTTCGGAGTTGAGGTGTTTGGCTGGATTTTTTTATGGAGTTGCTGGAGTTTAGGAGTGGAGCCATGCCAAACAGGCCCTATATCCACTCTTTGAATACAATCATTTGCTGATTGTGAACATGATACAACCTATGGTCCATGCGTCATTGCAAAGAGTTGGCACAAGGCCTGAGATAATCTGAAGTACTTGACTTTTGAAAAATATATTATGGTGCATCTCATCCATGTGACAATGTAACATTTTACTTGAAGTAGTGCCTAGGAAATTGCAAAAAGATAAGGTCGAATTTACTTGAAATATTTTATGAAATTTGTGCCTCATTTGTGCAGCCCTAGATCACGTTTATTGCAAGAGTGCAAGTTTCTGCCATGTCTTGCATCTTATTTGTTTGTCCCTATTTTTTCTTGAGGCAAAATGTCTGTCCCTATTTATCAGGCACTTACAAGTTTGGATGTTTGTTTATGAAACTAATTGTGTGATCACACCCTTGTTTTAAAGTTTTTCACGCTAACATCGTGTATGTTGCTGTGCTATTAGCCTACTACCAACAAAACCATAGTTAATAATGTTGACGCTAAAATAGCAACAGTTAAGAAGTGTTATGGTTGTATTACTCCAGGGGTAGCTATCATGTCATGGCTACATGTAGCACATGCATTCTGGCTATTGTTTCCCTTCATCTGTGGTATGTGATT